ATTACTTAATTCCGAGAATGAGCATTAACGTTAATTTCCTTTCATATCCATCGAATGGTGTGCCACGACATTCCGAAATCTACAAAATATATTATTTTACAAATTCTGCCAGATTTCCATTTAGTAACATTAGCACCAACGATTGATATTTTAAATAACTGAAACCGATTAGGCAAATACTACTTTGTCAGCCTAAGCCTCTTTCTCCCCTGGGAAGAGGAATGAAGAACAAATTTATTTCAAATGTTGATTCACTTTAAAATATCAATTTGCTATTGTGGATTGGATATGCAATAAATATGTGCTGTGCATTTACACATTCAAGTTAGTGTAAAAAATCCAATAACCGATGGTCCAATGAACTAGAGAGTAGATCTGTAAGTTTAGTTCATGTGCACCTTAAATCTTCTCATTATTGTCTTAACAACTTTTATTAGCGTAAATTAGAAGACTTAAATATAGATAACCTCTCATTTCACGAGGTTTGAACAAGTTTGTAGCTTGCAATTACTTGCTAGACATGGCAAATAATAAACTATCTTGAACTTGGATATGAAGGAATTTATCTACTTTGTTGCCGTTGCCATTAACAATATTTGTTAAATAGTTATGCTAGTTCAAAATGTGTTAGCAAGTTAGCAGGTAATTAATCTAATGTTACCGAGAATTAAAATCGACATTTTGATCAACGCTGGTCATTTGCTTTGTATGACTTGGCCACCTTAGTTGATGTCCTGAGTATTTATTTATTTATTTATATCAAATGGCAGGCGTCTTGATGGTTATCATTAGCCTTTTAGTTGACTTCAGGCTTCACAGAGAGGGGGAGGAACATCAAAGTGACAAAAAATAGAGAGGGGGGGGGTACAGAAGAGTGTTTCAAAGACGAAGGTAGAAAAGGTAGAAAAGAGGTGAGGTGATTACTGTGGAAGTAGTCAAATATGACATACAGTGGGGTGATGGTAGTTTGAAGTGAGAAGTCAACTGCCGGTTAAAAGATCTTTTGCCGTATGAGTATACGTTGCCCAGGGTGCGCCACGTGGAGGTAAGTCTATCGCACACCCCCTGTCCTGAGTATGAATTTAGATGAACTGAAATCACTCATTTGACATTAATTTTACTTGATTACCCTTCCACTGCGCCCATACCTGCAACGAAATTCCTTCGATTACGGTACTGACTTCTAAACAATAAGTTAGACCGTTTCTTTTATCCAGACTAACTATAAGTAGTTGCATTTTGGCAAAAAACCGAAGGGAATTCATCATTTGAGCTGGGTCAGNATCGGCAGTTGACTTCTGACTTCAAACTACCATCACCCCATTGTATGTCATATTCGACTACTTCCACAGTACTCACCTCATCTTTTTTCTACCTTTATATCTGTCTCTTTTGCATCTTTGTAACACCCTTCTGTCCCCCCCCTCCCCCTCTCGACTCTTTTCACTTTTATATTCCCCCTCCCCTCTGTGAAGCCTGATGTCAACTAAAGGGCTAATGATAATTATCAAAAGGCATGTCATTTGGTATGGATTAATAAATGTAATACCCTATTGGGCTAAATAATTGCTCCGGAATGGGTACTCATAAAGCTTTATTGATATGCAAGCCAATAGGTTATTTAATCGTGCATAATACCAAAGTTAATGAGATTTTATCTCTTTGAAAAGAGAGAATTACGCGAACACCTTTTCACTAAATAGATCGACTTTAGATTTCACCAATCCTTTATTAATTTCAATTAAATTTTGCATGAAAGTGTAATCCCAAAGCTAATTCTGTGCCAGTGTGAATTCGATTAAGACGGAGTGTTGTTTTCATTTATATTCGAATTCCATTAAATTTATACTTGGATAACTTTTCCTTCAATTAAAACCAGAAATTGTTTACCGGATAATGTAGAAGCCACATAAACTTTCCAACACTTCATCTTACTTAGATTTTCCCAAATAATGGAAACTCTTCATTTTATGGTAGAAGCAGGTAAATTTAATGGCACAATAAATAATGTCGTTATTGGTTCTGACATAGGAGAAATTAATCCCAACTGATTTACATCCAATGATACTAAAAGTCCAATAAAAATTCTATTGGATATTATAAATCAACGTGAATAATGGAAATGTTTTATTAACTAATCTCACAATCGACATCGATTTTGCGCGCGATAACTGATTAAAAATTATCCCCAAACGTCTTAGGTTTTCACACACCTATTAATCTGCAGCAGAAAATATGTAATATTTCCAATTTCTTCCCTTTTCAGCTCTAAAAGATTAATTACTAACACGTATAGAGGCCTTTAAGGATAACTGCTTCAATTTTTCTCGCCACTTTGTGACCTCTAAACCTTTCATTGCATTTGCATAACGTGTGCACTGCACAATTGCGTGGACATTATTACAAGAACGAGAGAAGCGCCCGAGTGCGTTAGCGTACGCTAGCGACTATCGATCACGACGTCCATGTGGTAACTATGGCAACGCGCATATACGTTTTTTCTCTCTCTCTCTCTCTATTTCGCGCAGGGCAGGGGAGTTGTGCGGACTACAAGCCGGCAGTTAAGCGGGGCGGGGGTTTATGACGCGCTGAATGCGTCTGATATGGCCGGGGAAGGGGGATGAATCTTTTACTCCAGTCCCTATTTGATTGTGCACAATAATAATAATCTTCACTGAGATAACGAGAGATGACGAAATCGTTGTAGTTATGACACATCAGCTTTAAACCAACTTAGGCAATTTAATCAATTGGCTTGCTTTACATTGTAAAGAATTGGTTGCAGTATTAGCGAATTGAGTTATTCCATCACCTGATTGATACACCTTTACTTCAAGTGCCATGGTGCCAATTGTTTACGTTTCAAGTTGAATTAGTGTGAATTAATCTTGGAAGTAAGTCCTGAGGAAGCATGACAAAGAAAAAGTAAATCACAATTCTGACACAAGCACACGCACACACGCGCACGTGAATGATCGAGGGAGTGTAAAAGAAACGGATCAGCTGCGCAGTTGGCAAGAGTAAGAAAAAAATTGACGAGTTTGTAAAATTGAATGGATAGCTATTCAAGGTTTATGTCATTCTGAGAGAAGTTAACGAAGAGCAATTTTTGCTTTATCTCAAAGGAAGTAGTAAAATTGTCAGAATTAAAGCTTAAATCTTAACTCCTACTTGATAATAAGGGGTGGTCGATAGACTTACCTCCAGTTGGTGCACCCTGGGCAATGTTTACTCATACGGCAAAAATGTCCATAAACCGGCAATTGACTTCTCACTTCAAACTACCATCACCCCACTGTATGTCATTGTCGACTTCTTCCACAGTGCTCACCTCACCTTTTTTCTACCTTTGTGTCTGTCTCTTTTACATCTTTAAAACTCTTCTGTTCACCCTCCCCTCTCGACTTTTTTTCGATTTGATGTTCCTCTCCCTCTGTGAAACCTGAAGTCAACTAAAGGGCTAATGATAACTATCATAAAGCCTGCCATTTGATATAAATAATCTTAAGTAAGTTAATTAACAGTTTTATAGCGGTGCAGAAGGCCAATTGTAAGGCAAATACTAACTGACATAGCTACAGCAATAGGAAGTACGCAGCGGATTTCTGCACTAACAAACCTTGACTTATGCTCAGTATTCTCTACAGCAAGGGCGCATAGTTTGCAATGGTTCCCAGGATTAGCTAAGCCACCGTAATGTTATAGAGGAAAGAGAAGTATCGCGTGGAACACGTTCATTTTGGGCTGTGTGCCGCCGACACGGAGCTTAGTTATAATAAAATGACGGGTTTGTTAAACAGTGCAGGGACTATTGATTGGTGGCCGGTTGAGAGGTCTCTGCGCTAAATGCCGCACTAGTTGCCTTCGCGACAAGAAGCACTGCCGCACCTTCGAGTGTCTGAGTATGTATAAGATTTCTTTGTTAATCCATGTGAGCTAATAGTATTAGTAGGGGGAACTCTACGTCAATTTAAAGATCACAAAGAGGAAGGTTGTCATATAGAATTCGGTGATTAAAAAGAAGTCCTTCTTTAAGTAATAATCAACTTTTTTGGAAGAATAATTACCCAGTTTTACTATTAATAGCCCACTTCTAAAATTAGTTACCGGTGGACCAGACACGTGTCAAGCAAAATGCTACCAACGTCAGATTAAACTTAATTTCCAGAATAGCCTTATATTGAGAAGTGGAAGGCAATTACAGACCCCCCCCCCCCCCAACCTCCAAACAAAAATCTAACTCGGAAGTGGAAAATTATTCTTCTTAGGAAATCGAAACGAACCAATAATAGGCGCGATCCCACCTAGTAACAAGCATCAATGGCTAATGTGCATTAGAAATTGGCCAATCATGACAGTTCCAACAATGGTACTCTAATAGAAATAAAGTCCGAGACAACACTTCTAGAACAAGCCATAAACACCTATTCCAGGCACAGCAATGATCAAGACCCAAAGGTTACTCATAGTGCCGCAAAGGTAAATCATAACACTAACCAAGCGAAACCTGGAAGCGCTTCTTGCGAAGAGCCCACAGTTACAAATCAAAGAGAACAATTACAACAAAAATCGTTTCATTTCGTCGGAGCAGGATTAGGGAGTACTAATTGCAACGTGTGCGGCAGACAAAAAAGAGGAGAGTCGACGAGATGTGTAGGGAGAAAGCGTGTGAATCACATTCACGAGAAAACACACTCAAAACAACAGTGCACAGAGCGAGAAAGTGGTGTTGTAGCAGTCACACAAATGAATTACATGTCCATCCAAACACACGCACCTAACACGTGAGCTGAAGTAGTTAAATTTTAATTTACACAGGAGGAAACGGGGGAATGTAAAGAGATATGCTGGTCCTTATCAGGGAGACTACAGTGAGTGAAAAAAAGACCAAATAATGCAAGAGGACAAAGATATTAAAAGTGAAGATTGATAGTGGGAGAGGCTTGAGTTTGTTCGTTGGTGCTCGTTAGAAGGGGGAAACACAATGAAAAGAATGAAAATCAAGATGATGGATTTTCTGCTAATTGTTTCATTCCATCTCCGGAAGCGGATTTAGATGGGTCTGCGTTAACCGATTGAGAGGTATTTCCATCCGTCTCTGATTGCCCCTGACCTTTTGCGTCACCTGCAAAGTACAAGATTTAAGTAGTAACCAGAAAGGAACTTTTAGAAAAAAACACATGATTATCTCCTACCAGATGGCTTATCCCCGGTAGAATCAACCGGATCAGAATCAAACAGATGAGGTGGTAAGGGATTTCCATTGGGTAATTTCCCACCCGCTGCCCTTAAGTCACGAATTTCATCGAAAGCACGGTCAAGTAGACCCTGACGAGGTGGAAGTCGATTGTTCGGATTGTATACGAGCATTTTAGACATAAGAGCCAAGAGATCAGCAGGTGTATGACGTGGGAAGAATAATTTCACGGGGCAGGACTGAACATCAGGGAAATTGTAAGATTCGTACATGGGATTCATACTAGCAATATCTTCTGCTGTTGGGGTACCAAGCACACGGATTACCTTGACCAACTGATCAACAGAATCTACCCCTGTAAAGAGACACTGATGACGAAGCATTTCAGCCAAAACGCAACCAGCTCCCCATGTATCGATCGCACAGGTGTACATCTGAGCCCCAAATAATAACTCTGGTGCACGATAATATCTAAAAATTTCAAAAAGAAAATAGATTTAAAAGCTAATATACTAAAGCAGCTATAAGCAATAATGAAATACAAAGTGAACGTGATTTATGATTAGGACTAACCTAGAGGAAATATAAGAGACATTGGTTGTTCCAGGAACCATTTCTTTAGCACTGCCGAAATCGCACAATTTAAGGACAAGGGTCTGTTCATTAACAAGGAGATTGGATGATTTAAGATCTCGATGGCAAATCTGATGGCAGTGTAAATAAGCGAGCGCTTTGAGCATCTGATAAGTGAAAAGTTTGACAGTAAGCGGGGGAATGCTCATAGTACGCTGAAAGTATACGTAGACCAATTCACAGAGACTTCCGGGGAAACATTCAAGCACTAAATGCAGATAAACATCCATATCAGTGTTTGGTGGCACATCTGAACATTCACCCTCGAGGGCTTGTGACTGCGAACCTCGAGAACGATTACGAGATGAGGAAGAAGAAGTTGAAAAGAAATAGTAGTAAAATTTAACAACATTTGGATGTCTGTTCAACTTCTGCATGATGCTTAGTTCTCGATTCTTATAACGCGGATCCTGAAGAACACGCTTAACAGCAACTGAGAGAACAGTAGTATCAGCAGAATTTGCAGTATTTGCCGATGAAGAGGATTTGTCATCAGCGGCTTTTGTTGGAGGCGGAGTAGTAAGAGTGGCTTTTTCAATCTGACCAAAAGTTCCTTGACCAATTGTACCGGAAAAACTAAGGTGAATCTGAACTGGGGTGTTATCGAGGGCATTTCGAGCCTGGACAACTAGCTGACGAGGCATAGCCAAGCGTCCTGACATAAGACTAGCGAAGGGACCACCCATTCTACCCGATTTTCCATGTGTCGGCTTTGAAGCATTATTAGCGTTAGTGTGATTACTTCCTTGTGTGGCTCCGCTATGCCGCGAGGCGAGACTCATTTTTTTGGTTTATAAATGATAAAATCGCACAATAATGATTGCCAGGAATAAGTTAATGATTGTCGAAACTGAAATAAAATAGATTTCTAAAATTGATCAGTGGTCATAACATTTTAAATTTAAGAATATTGAATAAATGTCAGGAATCTTTAAAAAGTATAGCATCAAACGCCAAATAATTATAAAAGTGGGTGAGAATCCGCCAAGAAAAAAAAAAGAATAGCAAATTTCTACTCAATCAACATCGGCCATAGCACAGTCAACAATTGAATTAACCTTTAACGGTACCTTGTATATTTTAAATGAGAACAAAAAATTGAAATAAAACTATATGGTAACTCTAATGTACCCCGTTGAGTAAAGATGGAGAATTCAAACAAAAAACATATATTAAAATTTGAACTTCATTAGAAAAAATTCATTTTATACATATAACTCAATAAATAGAATATTGTATTTGAACAAGCTTTGAATAGAGCTAATTAATAATTAATATGAAATAATAGTAAAAATATAAGTCTTCTGAAGTCGGCAATCAAAAATTAATGCTTTGAAATAAGCAAAACAATTTGAATTAACTATTTATTTTATAGTAGGAGTGAAAATGATGTCATCAGTAATTTTTTCTATTTTAATTTGTATTCCTTTTCTGTTTTTAAATTTGATAAATGCCATAGCTTTGTTAAAGAAAATATCTTTTACTTTTGATTGTAATATTAAAACGTCAAATATTTGAGGCATGCAGGTAATGTTCTTGAACACATTTTTATAATTGCCGAAATATTTGTTGCAATAGGGTAGTGAGTTTTAAAATCTTCGGAGAAATTTAAATAAATGGATTATCCTTAAATTATTTCTTAAATGATGTAGCTTTAAATTGGCTTGATTTCCTATCTAATCTAAGAAAGCCTTTTAATTTAAGTTTTACAACGCTTAATTTACTTCACACGTAGATAATCTCTGATATTTAGATTTCTTAGGTTTATAGGACAGTTCATTAAAAGTGTAACATAAATGCATATTCAGAATAATACATGCAGACTTATTGCATATACAACAATAATTAATTTTATTCCAGCTTAATGATGTTGTGTAAATATATGCATGAAATTAATGAATCAGAAAGGTAGCCATTATACTTTAAGTATTTCTATTAATATTAATACAGAATAGTATATACGATATTATTAAAGTTGCGTAGAATAGTTAATTAAAAGCGTCCATTTTATTTAATAATTATCGCGCTTATTTTATTTGACCTTTAGTTTTAAATTATTTGCGCTACGCCGAAAATTAGAAAGCGTATTGCCCGTCCCTAGAAATGTCGGCTAGATTTTCCAATTTACGGCGGAGGTTATTTTCGGAATCACCTATTGAAAGGGAATATTTCAAACAGAACGTTGAACAACATCCAGTTAAAGATATCTCGATTAATGTCTTTTACCAATCTCGGTCAATAACGCTCCTCATTCTAATAATCCTTGGATTAACCTATTTCGCATTTACAAGGCAAATGGTCAACTTTACACTTACTTTTCTTTAGACCTTCAGATCTCCCACTGGAAGATTGCTTATTCAATGGAGCCGTTGTGGCTATTTCTGTGTTCCTAATAATTTCGACTATGATTATGCCTAATGGCCCATTTACCCGCCCTCACCCTCTAGTTTGGAGAATAATTTTCGGGGCTAGCCTACTTTACTTTCTTAGTCTTGTATTTATTCTATTTCTACGTATTGAGGATGTTCGGAAAGTTCTGTTCTACCTTGATCCCGATTTAAAAGGCATGAGATATTCAGATATTTTGGATAAGGAATATGCTGTTAATTGTAGTCAGGTGTGTCTTTATTTTTATTACTTTACTATTCCTAATCATACTTTATCTGAACTATTATAGTTTACTTATATGAGTCATTTCAACTTATTGGTGAGAGAATATAGCGTCTTTTTATTTCATCGTCAATTTTTTCTGCAATCCTATCTCTAAAATTTATTATTCATCAATGCAGGTCTTTAAATTTACCGATTTGTCTGAAGTTTTGACAAAGTGCGTCTGCACAGTTTTTCCATGATTTGATTTTCTCTTAACGTTGCAGTAATGTAAAGAAAAGCTGTGATTTAAATGGTCTCCGTTTGCATTGTTTGCTCAATTTATTGATCAGAGATTGGTAGTCTTTTACCTAATGTAAAAGGGTATGCTAAGTGTCTCATTAAGAAATTAAGTCATTCCTTAGTTAGATTGGATCTTTTGATCTTCGAATTTTCGACATCATTCATTAGATCAGTTACGTGGTATTTTCTCAACTGATGCTATCAATGTTATCGGCCTTTTTGGGATATTCTTTTCTTCGATTTCTCATTGGTGAGCTGTAGTTATTTAGCTTAAATGACAGAATCAGCTCTTTTTTCATTTTTGATTATTCTTTCAATCATTGCAATAGTATTTCTGTATATGTGCGGTACATTTCATACTTACACACAGTACATCTACGCTGTTTATCCTCTAACGCACATTAGCTTTAGATCCTTTTGTAGGGGGGATAAATGCGTTGCCTTACTTAGTCGATAAAATAAGCAGAAAGACATGTACTTTTCAATGGGGCTTTAGCTTAACGCAGAAGAGTACAAAATTCGAAGACTTTCTATCGTTGCTAACTTCTTCTCATTCGATTTTTTTCCAAGTCGTCTATTTATCATTCAGTGAGGTATTCCTCTATTAATACTACGATCCCTCGTTATTTAGAAATTATTTGCTTAATGAACTTGACTTAAAGATCCCAAGATTAAGATAAAACTCGAAGTGTGTGCATTTCAAATTCATATTTTAAACTTAACTTCCATACACAATGATTAACTTTATGGATTAACCTATTAATTTTTAGTCGATTAAGATATTAATTTTGATTACGTTCTACTTTCCCACTTCTTGATCTTTCTTTACTTGATTTTAATTGTATATTTCCGTCTTCTGGAACAAACATGAAATTTGGCGTTCAAGGTTTTGTACCTTATTAATACCTCGTGGAAAACTCGAACTAAATATAAAGCGCAGTCATTGCGAATATAAACAACTAGCTGGATCTTTCAATTTTCTCAATTACCCTCTTACAAGGTTAACTGAATTTACTTCATCCATTTTTTTTAAAAAGCCTCGTTAATAGTTTAGGTGGAAAATATCTTATCTTTTGAGCTAATCGCAAAATGGCCACTTAACTTGCTTTTTTGGCAGATAATTGTGTTGGCTTATATCCAAGTGCTTAAACTCCATTTTCGAGAGCTCAACTTTAATGGGTCTAAGGTTATTACTTAGTAGACTAATTCAAACATTGTTTGAAGATTTATAACCTAACGCTCATTTTACAGTAATGCAGTCATTCAAGTTATGTGCATTTCCACTTTGTTATTACAGGTTCTACATTTCGTTGCTAACCTAAATTCGTTCTACTTATTGATTGGCGGTTTATATCAATGTCCATTAGTTGAGTTAACATGTGCCCAATCCATTTATTAAATATATTCACTCATGGATACCTAATGTCTCTTTTGACCAGTGGATATCATTTTTTCTATTATTCGATAAAGCAATTTAGGAAATAAGTTTCGAGTCATTTAACTCATTTTCTATCATTTACATCCTAAAATTTTACTAATGGAAAACCCATACTTTTGTTAAATCACTTTTGATATGCTACAGCTGATTTGTTTGTAAATCTGTGCACTTCACTCGGCTATAGGTATCGAACCTGTAATTGCTCTCATGAAATTTGACCTTTTTACCGATTGTACTTTAGGTTCGTAATGTTATTTCAATGAGCAACAAAGTCATCTTTCGCTGTTTTTTTTATTTTACGATTTAAAAGCTGTCAGACTATTTAACTAACAATAACTCACCTCATTATGAGTTTTTAATTGCCAGTGGATTGATTATACTTAGTCTTGTTTCCATTTTTTCATACTTGGATGTCTGCCTTTTTAAATAGGTGACTCTGGAGCGTATCTGGAGTCATATGGATGTCTTTGCTTTCGGCCACTTCTTTGGCTGGGTGATCAAGGCCATTCTTCTTCGTCACTACCTCATTCTCTGGACGCTCTCTATCAATTGGGAGGTCACAGAGATTGCCTTCTCGCACATTCTTCCCAACTTTCAGGAGTGCTGGTGGGACAGTCTCTTTCTAGACGTCCTCGTCTGCAATGGTCTGGGAATATTCTGCGGAATGCTTCTCTGTCAATGGTTCCATGCCAGGTCCTACCAATGGGAATCCATTCGCGATATTCCTTCCAAGAGGGGCAAACTCAAGCGAGCTGTTCTCCAGTTTACTCCAGTTAGGTAGGGTCGCATTTATTTTAAAAGTACTGTACAAAAATGTGTATATGAAGTGCACTTTTTATTGAAACAGAATGCCCAACATTTTAGTGTACCTGTAGTCAAAGCTATTTACTAACTTGGCTACTCCTATATTTTACTTCGTGTGACTGAAAATCCTTTGGTAATTGTGCAATTTCTTTCTACCCCTGTACGAACCATTTTCCCTCCACTTTTCTTCGTTTACTTATTTGAGTTAAACGCTGGTGTAGAGGTTCTCCTATCTGGCTGGCTTTTGGCCTTTATCTGGTAGCAATCAGCCTTTAAGACAACGAAATTATGAAACTTCCCTTACTCGTTTCGATTTGTAACTCAATATTTCTAATTGTCTTTTTTTCTGGATTTTATATCTCATGAATATTCATTTGATAGTCCTTGTCCTTGCGAAGGTATCTATTATTCCTCCATGAGTTTGAATACTAGGCTATTTTTAAATAAAGAGCATTGTTTTCTTATTTAAGATGAAGATTCTTGTCTGGGGTATTCATTACGATGATACTTGTCATCTGACTATTGAATTTTTCAGTCTAATCTTGAGCACTATATATTTATTTTCGCTTATGCATCAACATCAATGAATCCGCTTCAGGTGAGGGCATTTGCGTCAAGACTACCTTTCTTCTCTTCCTTTCTTTAGTTGGACGCCAACGCACTGGTTAGACAGAAACTCCTCCTTCAAGAGAGTCATCCAACTCACCATTCTTATATTCTTCTGGCAGGTGGCTGAGTTGAATTGCTTCTGGTTGAAGCACGTTTTCATTGTTAAACCCTCCCATTTCCTCACTCAAGCTCGAATAGGCCTCATCACTCTCGCCTCTGCTCCCGCCATTAGGTAAGCTTTCACCTCCCTATTCGGCGGTTTTGTTCCCTTCTCCTTCTTGGAGCACGATTTTGTGGCATGGTATTCGAATCGTCTAAAATGACTGTAGATGCTGCAATTAGAAGCATTTAGATATTAGATGGAGTTGAATTAAATTAAAGGAGGTTTTCAGCATCATGAGGGCTCATTTACGTTTCCGGAACACCTGAGTTAAGGTCGGTCGACGCTAGTACGTAAAGTAGCATTTGAGTTATTTGGGCTGAAATAAAGTCACTATTGCGTTAATGTTGGTAGTTTTCTTTTTTGGTAAAGAATATGGTCTATGAATTTTATCATATTTCAATTGTTCAATGCTGCTTCTCATCAATGAACTTTTATTGTTATGCTTTTATCACTTTCGTAATAGTGATTGAATATTCTATTTCCTCTTTTGAATTTTTTTGGCCCTTAGTTGAGCTTGGATTATAAAGTGAAATTTGGATAGGTGACTGAATATGAAAATATTCATTTATCTAAAACTCATTGGGGTTAGTTATGAGTAAATAAAAGTTAGAACGGTGACATTTCAACGGTTTTATAAGTCTTGGAGGTTTCGTACCCTGGAATCAAATTAATTAATTAAATGCTCTCCGAAAATTGCGCCTTGCAATAGTTTGGCATTAGCGCAACCTTAACTTCTTAAGAACGCTTCGTTGTTGTAAAACGGTAAAGAAAATTGATGATTTGTTCATTCGGCAGTAATTATATTTACGAATTTAGGCAGAGAGACGCTAGGCAAGTGAAATCAATTTGGCCATTAATTTTTAAATTTCGTTCTTTGTGTTATTGAGTTTATTGGTCCAATTATTTATATATTTCAAATGGCAGGCGTTATGATAGGTATCATTGGCCCTTTAGTTGACTTCGTACTTAACAGAAAGGAAGAGGAACACCAAAGTGGCAAAAAGTCGAGAGGGGGGACAGAATAATGATTCACAGACGTAAAAGAGAGAGATAGACACAAAGGTTGAAAAAAAGGTGAGTACTGTGGAATTAGTATAATATGAAATGCAGTGGGGTCTTGGTAGTTTGAAGTGAGAAGTCTTTTTTGCCGTATGAGTATACGTTGTCCAGAGTGCACCACGCGGAGGTTAGTCTATCCCACACCCTTATTGGTACAATTGATGTACTGGCATATAAGTGTTTATAAAAGCTATTGAGTTCTGGAGATTTTCCGGTTGTCTATTCTTGCTATCGTTGCGTGCATCAAGTTTTAACAAATGTGATCTCAGAGAAAACTAATCGTGTGTTTCCGATATTATGGGATTAAATTTATTTGTTATGACTCGTATTACTAGACTTCTTTAAACTTTCTAACCTTATTCTTACATCTTTATTCATCGTATTTATAGACAATTTTATCAATATGTGACTGATGATCAGGTCACCCGAATTGGTTCTCAAATGTGGGTCTTCACGTATGTAATCGCGTCCTATTTCTGCCTCTTTCTGTTGTGATATGATTTTAGCTACTCTCACTTTTATACGCTTTAGAGCCACTTTAATTGTGGAGTCCATGGTCGCTTACAAACTTGAAAGCGAGGTTTTTGAAAAGGCCATCATTCACTATGTCATTATCTGGTTCATTTGGTTGGTAAGTTGCTGTTTGAAGTCGATGTCCTCTATTTTCAAGTCTGGATATTGATTACCGTTTTCTCGTTATTTCTCTCTCTAGATAATCAGCAGTTTCTTAACCGTTCAACTTTGCATCTTCTTCTCCAAGCTTTCCCCAACTAATGTTGATGAAGATGAGGAGATTTTGGACCCTAAAAATACTCTTTCAGATTCAGAAGTGATCCAAGATCGAAATGTGGATAATGTTAGTTTATGATGCAATTAAGCCTGCCTGAATTGTGCTTTTCGCAAACTAATTTTTCTGCTTGGAAATGCCATTAGTGTTGCACTCATCATTGTGCTTACATAGTCAAATCGAAGTGCTATTGCAGCTATTGCAATTTTAGTCATCGTTGTATGTTAGTAGTTAAGGTATTGCGTAACCTTTCGGTAGTAACTGCTAAATTACGCCTAACATCTAAAAAATCAAGTGCATTCGGCCTTTATCTGCTAAATATTGACCACTTTAGCATATTTGCATATTTTTTATTAGGCCTAGTTTGTATTACAGTATGCGCTAAAGCGTTAATCTCCTACATTGGATTTCACGGGTTTATATAATGCTGTGGCAAAGTATTTCAGTCATAATAGGACTTTTTGAACGATTTTCAGAGCACCAGAAGACGAATGAAGTCAGACACAGGTTCACGGGTGGCCAAGAAGAATATATGAGCTTACATCTTTGCTATCTGCTTTTGAAGCTCCCTCTCTCCTTTTCCCCCATTTCTGTTCCCTGTGTCTGGGAGAAATATTGATTGGTCTCGTCCTCGCCCTTCCCCCTTCCTCGCCCTCCCCCTTTTATTTCCTCTGTTTCTGCATTTAAGTCCTTGCCTTGCTTGTGAGACAGAGCTTTCTGGTTTGCTTCTTTCCTGTTCCAACTACAAAGGTTTGTTGCAGTGAATGGACTTGTCTTCTCCTTTAAGAACCCGCCTACCCCAGGAAAGGCTATAACTGTCTGGTGTATGTTATCAAGTGGAAACGATGGAATATTCACAGTTCAGATTATTTCAGTGATGGTGTAATAGACTGTGGTACACCTGAGTAGTATGAAGGAAGAGACGGAACTGGATAACAGTTCAATTGGATTTTGAGGAGCAATTTGCGATATAAATGTGGTTTGGGAGCTAGAGTTGGTGGAGCAAGGCGACTCTGAAAGATCCGAAAGGAGGGTTTGAAGCTACTTAGTTACGAAATCGACAATGAAGTCACAGAATAAATTTTTCACTTAGTTAAGGGAATGATATTATTGTTTGCTATTTTACTGCAATGCATTGAGGAGTCGTAGAACAACGCCTGTATGTAGAAGTGGAAGTGAACCAATACAATCATTTAAAATACGCTCGAACGAATCTCAGATGAGCTCCATCTCTCGCCCACAGGTTCATCGTTTATATTATCTTTCCATCACCTTGAAAGCAAATATATCCTCTCACTTCGTATTCCTGGGCTCTAAGTTGAGAGAGTTTGATAAAGGGTATTTCAATGCTTCATAACTTCGAAATGCACGTCCTGGACAAATATTTGCGCAATGAGGATTTCATCGGTGACTATTTAAGCATCAAATGAGCTGATACTTTTTTCCAATCGCAATCTTCACAACTTACATCTAAATTTAGGATGACTTCAGTTGGCCTTTCACAAGGAAAAGTTGTAGCTTGTCACTTATTTGAGCTATTAAGAAATTTACCATCCTTTTTATATCCATTATATCACAGAGTAAATGGAGCTCTTTAAGTTCCTTAGAAGGGAAACACCTATCCAATTCTCATTGTCAATTAGCTTTCACAATCAATGCTTGTGTTTATCCTATGACAACACTAAATGCAAAAGATTGAAAGAACTCAAATGCATCTAATGGAGATTTGTACTCAATACATTTTCAATGAAGAGCCATACCTTAACGCTGAATTCTGCATAAACCAACCAATGAATACATAGGCAATGTTTGAACCAATAAAAAAACAGGTCTAACCCTTTGGCAGTGCTGAAAATGCTTTGAATCGACTGTGGTGATATTTATATTAAAAGACGTTTTAATTTGTCTAAAAGTTGCAGATACTATTCATCTGACATAAGATAATCAGCCTTAGGAGAGGTATGTCTCTTTCTGCTCGGAAAGAGGATGTTAGGATAGTGACATGTTTAAGTCATTAATCCCAAAGTATGATTAGAGGTAAATATATTCATCCCCTTCTTAGTTGCTGATTTCCGTCGATTATATACGGAGTTTTGTAACAATGGCATTTTAGGTGAACCTTCAACATTCGCTTATGGGGTAATACCAAGCAGCCGATAAACGTTTAATCAGATTTTATTTAATCGGTATTCAGATTTTGAAACTGTTTTAGGTATCAATAGGTAGCTTTAGGCCTTCATGACATTTTGGTTTAACAAGACTATCGATTGATATCGTTTACTATTGAATTAATTTAAGGTAAACAGTCATGGAAATTCGAGTTAAAGATACTGATGACCCAAAACTAAATCAACGCACATAATATAAGTTTCTTTAATATGATACTTCAATAACTTATATTTGCAAGTTAAGACCTAATAGAAGTTTTCTATATATATGAATATGGGGTGCGCAGTATACTTACCTCCACGTGGTGCACCCTGGGCAACGTATACTCATACGGCAAAATAGTCTATTTTTCAGCAGTTAACAACTGACTTCAAACTACCATGGCCTCTCTGTATGTCAAATTCGACCACTTTAACAGTGCTCATCTTACCTTTTCTCTGCATTTGTGTCCAACTGTCACTTTATATCTGTTAATCACTCGTCTTTCCCCTTCTCGAATTTTTCCCATTATGATGTTCCTTCCTTCTGTGAAGTCCGAAGTCAGCTTAAGGGCTAATGATTACTCTCAAAACGCCTGGCATTTGAAATAGATAAATATATATTAATAATAAGGCGTAAATGCCTTAAAGTATTTAATATGACAATAGATAAACTTTAAAAATATTAAATTTAAACAAAAATGCCATAATCACACAGATTTAAAGCTTTACTTATCTACGTAGTCGGCATTTGTTTATACGAACTAATTTTAATTAAATACGTTCTCGCCCAATTTCTAATTCTTACTGGGTTCTGGCTTATTTTTTAGGCAGGCAAGACTAGCCTATAAGATACTACATTTTCCTAAACCCGTTAGTTGTCGTCGATTTTTGGAATGTCAAAACTTTAATGTCTATTTTTGTCCTTTACTCTTCTAATGGTTTCAAAGATATTTTGAGCATATTCTTCTGTTCCTGTAGTCTTGTATTTAAATTATCTCAAGGAATTTCATACAATAACTTTGGTTTCCCTGCATTTTGCGGCGCTTTTGGCTAGTTTGATAGCCATACTTTGGTACCGCGTTCCATATCTTAGTATGCTAAATAATTTTTATGAGTATTTAGCGATTAAATGTATACTCATTGTTATATGTCCAAATGAAATCGATTTCACTTTGCTGCCAACTGGTTTCTCATGAAGAAATGGCTTTTAAACTATTAATGGTTTTATTAGACTGGTCATTATCTTCTATTAGCCACTAGTGTGGGACACTTCATAAATGACCAAATAGAAATCCTGCTATAGAATACTACTCAGAAATATTTAGCTATTAAAGTTCACGCGAATTATGCTAGAGTTATCTGATAACTAATCGCTTTGCCAAGCACACACTTCGCTATTAATATACGTATCGAATAAACGTATTCCTTGCTACACGTCTGTTTCCCCTATCGCTGGGCTATAGCTAAGCTTGTTCTGGGGGTCTCGCTAGATGTTGGAGAATTTGCCATAGAGATTCCTGAGTCAGTCAGGCTTTACCTAGGCAGCAATCCGCTACACTAGAATGCGCAATGAATATTATTTCCGCTTTTTTTCCTTGGCAAGATTGAAAACCATTACAGTACCCCAACCGGTCCATAAATGAAATTGCGTGAGTTATCCTTCCCCAGGTTGTTGAAAATAAAGATTGCGATTTTCATTTGGACTTCCCTATGAGTGCTAATTTTTATGTTTCAGGTTTGAGGATGGTTGTAGCTATCCATTATGGTGACTCCATCGCACCTAATGTTTACCTTTCAATACCAGGGCAATACTATTTCCTCCTTACCAAGTATTTTTCCTTCAAATGGGAAAGAACAAGCACATTAAATCTAATTCTGGCCTGAAAACAAGCTAGAAATATTGCTTTAGTATGTAAAATAATTTTATTTGCCTGATAATATTTCTTTGGTGATCTGATCTATTGATATCTCTATCTCGCCATTTCTAAGGGCTCTTCTTTTCCCTCTCCCCTCCCCCTAATCTCAACTTTTTAAACTATCCAATGCACTACTGTTCCATATTCAACGCCTGCTCTTCTGTTTATAAGAAACTCTCTTGTGTTTTGTTGGTATTGAGATGGGCCATTAGTTTTGTAAGAGGACAGCTTGAAGCCTAACTCTGCTGGACTATTAAAGTAGCCTGACTGTTCAAAGATTGGTATTTGTACAAATTCTACTTCCTCTTAGCATTAGCTGGGGTGAGGCCTTTCTACTTCTAAACGTTTTTGTACCTAGAAGTTATTTGGTTTGAGATTTAAAGGACAGAAATGGTATCGCAAGATAATTCGGGGTAAATAACTTCAAGATTCTGGGTCATGATTTGTCGTTTCTGGCGGTTAAAATGGAATGATAATGCAATCATCAATCCATTCAATTGCAAATCTTGATTTGTAAGAGCTTCAAGTGTAAATTTGGAAAAATTTCACAACGCATGACACGAATAGCCGGTGTTTATTAAAAGCAGCAGCTTATATAATAGGCTTGGCCAAGCTAGTTTTGTCGCTACCTTCTCTACTCATTTAATAATTCTTTTACATAATAGCAAGATACAATAACTTTTCCCTTAGTCAGAAGAATAGGAGTCGATGCGCTGTGTTTGATTTGGCATTCGTTGAGAGAGACTGGAGAGTGAGAGGTAGAAAGAGACTCTTGAAAAAGGAGAAAATTGGAAAAAGGAAATATGTTTGGTCGCGAATAAGTGAGAATTTTTATGATTAAGTGAAATATTTAACGGTTCAACCGGTTTGTGTCATAGGTTTGTTGCTAGGTCGAGCAGATATACAGGTCACCGTTTTCGAGAAATATGCATTCCTCTATCCTTCCTGTTTATCAGAACTATTCTCTGTATCTGCATCTATGGGCATTGACTTCTCAATTTCTGGAATATAGGAGGTGCATGTTGGTCACTGCGCACAGTTGTTTGAAGAGGCCGAAATTTACTTCGAGTACCAGAAAATGATTAATTTGACGAGCTGTAAGACAAGTTATTATTAGACTGAAAATGGTCTATAATTCAGTGTTCCTAATCCCAGAGCGATTACTAATGCCGTAATCTTTATAAGTTCGTGCGATTTAGTCACGATTGCATTACCTTAACTTCAGTCAGTCAAGGCCCAATTAAATTGCAGTGTTTACCCGGTGCGCGGTTTACCCCGAGAGTTTATTTAGATAAGCGATTCATTTCCAACTAGCATTGTGTAAGTTGCACACGCTTGAGGTTCTCGACCGCTCTTGGAATTTTCTTACTGTCTTCGATATTTTTCTACGTAGATCAATTGATCTTTATGGCATAAATCTCTTTAGGGGAATTTAATGCTAAAATAAAGATACACTAGCGATGGTGATGAATGTTAGTCTCTACCACTTAAGTGACGTTTGATGGTAGTGAACTTACATTTGTTTTTTAGATTTTTTGTTACTAAATCTTAATACAATTATTTCATAAAATTTGGAATAAGTTCAATTTTTGTTTTTACGTTTTCTTCCTATGATGAAGTAGAAAAGAATGGCATTCCAATTTTATAACAATGACTTTTTACGTCTATTTTAGTCCTAATATCCTCCTGGAAATGCCAAAAGTAACTTTTGAGTGTGGTGTTTCACTCATGCTTTTGCTGATAGCTCTACTCTTTCTGCAAGGAGTGATCAGCCTGGATAACGGATTAGCAAGGACACCGCCGATGGGTTGGTTGACTTGGCAGCGTTTCAGATGCGAAACAGATTGTAAAACTTATCCAAGAGACTGTATTAGTGAAGACCTTATACTTAGACAAGCAAAACAGCTTGTTTCTGGTGGATGGAAAGATCGCGGGTACCGATATGTGATTATCGATGATTGTTGGCCTTCATACCAACGAGATCCAGCAACTCATAAGTTAGTTGCTGATCCAATCAGATTTCCTCATGTTAGTTATATTCTGCTTAATTTTGTCAACCAGTAATATTTGACGCTCTCAAATACGCTCTCCTTCCCATTGTCTAGGGTATAAAGTGGTTGGCAGATCAAATTCACTCAATGGGTCTTCTATTCGGCATCTATCTCGATTTTGGAACAAAAACTTGTGCCGGATATCCAGGCAGTTTGGATTATTTGGAATTGGATGCTCAAACTATGGCCGAATGGGAAGTTGACTATATCAAGATGGATGGTTGTTGGAGCAAAGTTAGCGTAAGCCAATGAATTTTTGTTTCAGTACTACCATTGAAAAGTAAAATCCAAGTCTTGCATTAATCATATTTTAAAAATTTGCAAAGTAAGTTGTCTGAACTAAAAATAACCGTGTTTCAGAATTTGAGTTGGTTTGGGAATTGGCTTACGACTGAAATTGTAGCTTTAAACCTATCGAATGTTTTGTCACAGTAACGCCAAAGATAAATGTATGGGAAGCGGGACAAGTTTTGTAGTAATTATCTACTTGTTTTATTGCCCTTCCTTTGCACAAGATGATAATGGAAGCCAAATATTTCCTACTCAATTCTCACCTTGATCCGAACAACAGCTGATCCTTTTGAG